AATCTTCGATGTCAAAGTCTCGCATATTTGTATGTTTTCGGCAAAAATAACTTATATAATAATATATCTTTTGTTTGTATCTACAGGAATATTGTGTATAATTTTGGGTGTAGTGATCCGGGTACTGGATCTTCGATATCCAGAAGCTATTACAACGTTCTTTGGAGTCGATCCCTTGCAAGCTGAAACATTCATTGAAGGCAGTATTTTCTTTTCATATTACTCTTTACCTGATACAGTAAAACACACCTTTAACGAAGAGATATGGACCACAAATTTGATTCGTGAAACGTAATTTGTTATATCTGATTAGTTCATAATACGTTTTAAGGACACATGCTACAATAAAAAAATTGATGCATGATGCATGTGATTGATATATATTTTTGAACTTATTAAATTATCCACATATTAAATTAATATCTAAAATAATGTTAAAAATTCTTCCTTTTTTCTAATACCCTTATAAATCTATACATTTTTATTACTTTACAGGGTATTATCAAGAAACTTTGAAATGAACAAGAAATTTTATGCGATGTATAAACATATTCTCGTATTTAGTTGTTATTTTCATGATTTTTGAAAAAAAAGTTTGTTTGTAGCATCTGTCCTTAAAATTTCAGGGAATGCTGTAAGCGTGAATTGATCATAAGAGTGTTTGCTGTAATCATGTTTTACTTATGTTGTTTGTATTTTCACCATCTGTGGGACCTGTCATTTCTGGTTTTTTGAAAACACAGGAGAAACATTCGAGCCAATCAAGGCTCAGAAACAGAATGACGACATGGAACTCAAACGTATGGAAAATGGAGAAGCACAAAGTGATTCCACTAGAGAATCGTCAGCTGCTTCTAATGTAGAAGAAGATGAAGAAGATGATGATGAAATATATGAAGCTCCGGTGGGTAACAAAAACTCCGAAAAAAAAAAGAAATTATTTTCTTCATATTATTTCCTATGTATACAATTTTTTTTTTTTCGGAAATGATGTACATACATTGGGCCAGGAAAAAATGTTGTTACTTAATTAATTTATGGTGTACTTTAATATATCGTATTTATAAACAATACAGGTATTCCATGCGAAGCCCCCGAAGGAATCTCATTTTGAAAAGCGCAGATCACGTGGTCTGACTCAACGTCTGCAGAGACCAAGACGACGAGCGCCCCCACCTGTTCCAGACCAACAGCTTGAGATGAACGAACTCTATGACAACACAAAGTAAATAAATTATCTACATGATATATAACAATTTGCATTTTGAAAATAAAACAAATGCTTATTGAAATGTCTTGATTATTTTAGGGACGAAAAGTTCAAGTTTGGAAAGAGTTATCGTACTTAGATCATAACGTGCCGAAAAGTACTTTACCATACAAGAGTGAAATGACAGGAGTCTTTGAATTGAAATTTGCCGTATAATGCTGGATATATACATGTATAAAGAAAAGTCATACAAAAGGTTTTAAATGTATACCTCTATGTTATTATTTTAAAATATTTTTTTAAAGAGGTCGCATTCATAGTCTATTTTCTTTTCTGTTTTTTTTTTTTTTTTTTTTAATTTTTACCTTATAATGAAGTGCTATGTGAGAAAATTTCATTGCGATAACAAGCGAAAAAAAAATATCACATATTTGAAGGTGGATAGATAACAAAATGATGATATAATCTTTACCAGGATTAAAAAAAAACCATAATTCAATAAACATTATAATTTCATCAATGTTTAATTATACATCATATTCGATCTGTATATTCATATAAATGTATGTACCTTTTACAATGCACAAGCTGTTACTTCATATAGTTATGCTTTGTTGACAATGTACATTATTTATAAGCAAAACGTAATATTCTGCCTGTAACAGTTCACTGTAATTTAGCAAGGAGGAAGAAATTAAAGTTTTTAAAACAATTGAATTTCCGAATTTTTCATTTTCCTTATATAGAATATTGTGTAAAATTGCAAACATTTTGGAAAGAGTATGCTAATTATAATTTCCTATTTTATTGGGAACGCCGACAACTCTTAGCGCCTTTCGAACTGTCATTCATGTTGGATTTTGTGCAACTTTCTGGTGTTCAAATATTTGCAATGGTGTCCAAAATCTTTTTTGATGAAAAATTCTTACCGAAAAATTCGGAAATGTTTTTTGTCCTAAGCATGCATATAATAAAGCAATGTATTATATACACATGACTTGTCTTCTGATTTTTATCAAATTTTTAAAATACTCTAAAAGAAAAGAATGTTGAGCTTCTGTTTTCGACCGATCGGGTGAGCAGATGTGTTTTAAACTCTTCCATATTGATAGCCACTGATATAGCAACAAAGTAATAAATAGAAAAGGATGAATTATTCAGTAGTCTGTTTACTGTTTGTATTAGGGTGTTTGGCGAACTAAAGCTGTGTAAATGTTCGATCGTGTTAAAGCCTGCAGTCGCGGGTCAACTTTGTAAGTACCCGTATCTTGTAAACAAAATCTTTTGTCAGACATACAACGTGCCATGATTGTATGCAAGTGGAGAGTGTTAAGTTACTTCGGCACGATCAAATAACAAAATGAGTGATACATTTTACTGAATGTTAATACTGAACGACTGGTCCACTTTTACTCTGGAATGGTTTTGTTGTTATGGAAGACTAATTCCTGCTGTAGACGATTAAAATTGGATTAATAAAAGACGGATTAACAAAGCACATATATTGATCGCATGATATTGAAAGCATGCAAAGCGCGTTGTTTTAAATAGCCCCAAGTTTATGGTGCACATTTTAGTGAACTATTCATTTCATTGGAGATCTTTTTTTTTATCTGCCGAACACATGTGCTCTTTTTGATACTTTTGCAAGAGACAGGAAAACAAGAAAATAAACATGGATTTTTCAAAATTCCGCCAAAGTGGGGACCTTTCTGATCTTACGGTGACAGTAGATGAGCAAGTTTTTAAGCTCCACAAATTTCCGCTTTATGCAAAATCGGAGTACTTTTGCAAGCTTGCACATAGTGCTGACGTCAAGAAAGTGGAATTAGTTGGCTTTCCTGGGGGACCGGAAATATTCAGCATCGTGGCTGACTTCTGCTACAACATGAAGATAGACCTTACCAAAAACAATATTGTGCAAGTTCGATGCGCTGCAGAATTCTTACAGATGAAAGGTGAAGGCAATTTGATTGATATGGCTGAGAAATTTTTCAATGACACTATCACGTCGACTAAAATGAGTCGTTCTACGTCATGTATTGCGTCACTTCTTTTGTACGCATCCGCAGTAGGAGAATTAGCAAACGTTTCCGGTATTGTTAATGTCTGTTGCGAAGCTCTTATTGAATGCTGGCTAAAACCGCCAACAAAATTTAATTCACCGACAAATATTCTGAAGCAATCGTCAGAACGACGCGAAGATAAGACAATCATAGCTTTGTTGAGTCTTCCTTTGGACTGGTTCATGAAGCTGGTCATAGGAGCGCGTGACCGAGGAGTCCAGTCGACTTTGCTAGCAGAACTCTCTACGTCATATATTTCAGTACTGATCGATCGCGAGGAATCTGATGAGAAAGGAGTTCAAAACACTGAATCAGGGGAAGGCCCAGCCAAATCCCCTCGTGGGAAATCACCAAAGAAGATAGAGATATCCAAAGCTCTGGACAATATCATTACCGTCTTACCTGAAGAATCTTTGTACAGTGATGTTATAACGATTGATTGGTTAACGAAGGTGATAAGAGTTGCGACGTCACATAATTGCAAATGTCGAAAACTTCTAGTCAAATCTGCTGGAGAATTATTGAGTAAACTCTCTGCAGAAGATCTCTGCATTATATCGCCATCTTTATTACGAGATATAGTCCAAGAATCGTGCAGTTCAGAAAATGGTCAAATTGAAAAGGCATGTCGTATAGTTGATACGTACATGTCTGAAATGGTCCGAAAAGGGGTTCTCACAGCAGAAACGTTTAAACTGCTAGCAACTGTAGTGCCAAAGGATGCTCGAAGCAATCATGATCAAATGTACAACATACTGGAGTACGTTTTAACGACAGGTATAACGCATTTCCTTTAATTGGTTTTTTTCTGCTAGTGTTTGTGTGTGTGTGTCTGAGAGAGAGAGAGAGAGAGAGAGAGGGTGTTGATGCTGACTTTATTACAAATAAATGCATATAACACATTTTCTCAAATGAAAATTGATTGGTCTTTAGATACGATCTATTCCTGTAACGGGGATACACATACAAAGTCATTTACAAGACTTTATAATGATTTTGAATATTTCCAATTTTCACTTCAGAATTATATTTGCAAACTACTTTAGAAAAAGATGTCTTCGTCCTTTCATATAGTCCATTGGACATGCTTTTATAAGAAAATTCGTAGTTTTATGATCTATGTAAAGTGAATATTATCTTAGTGCATTGCTCATAAAAGAACGGCACTTTATTGCTAATCTAAAGCAAACGACGCCCATTTAACAAGGAAATGTTTGGAAGTGTTTACTTAGATAGATGAAACAAATTCCATTTTTAAAGGACATAGAAACGCGATCTAACTGTTGGTGCGATAGATCGTATCGATTTGTAAAGGCTTCAGGAAAAAAAAAATCAAGGTGTAACAAAATGTAAGGTGAACCAATGTTATCCTGCGGCTTTTTTAATGGTTCCTTTGATGAAAATTATAAATAAGGTAGATAATTCAAGGCGTCCATTATACAAGTATCTTGTCATTTTTGACAAGATAATTAAGAAAACGTTACTCATTGTATGTTTGAGACATGAAACTGGATGCAATAATTTAGCAAAAATCTTTTAAATAATTTACGACTACTTGTATTTCGTTTTTGAACATTTTTAATTTCTTTTTATTAGTATTAAATTCCTTTACTTTTTCTAAAGATGAAAATGTTACAACATTGACTGTGAATCTACCCAAGATAGTAATAGAAATACAGTACTCCTGGTTTTAACAGATATAATCTTATAGATATAATCTATTTATATCCTTGCAAGTATTACTTTCTAATAGGTAAGTATTGTTATTTTCTAATAGGCAAGTATTGTTATTCTCAAATATCTCACAGTACGTAATTCTAGTTGTTAAATCCCCTGAAAGAGTTTGAGGGTAGTTTAAAGTCACAGAGCTTCAATTTACCACAAACAAAAAATCATTGTAAGCATAAATTTAACGACTAATTCACAAGTTGTCTACCAGGAGAAATAACAGCAGGGATCTCGATAAGCAATATGGAAATGATATATAGACTTTGGAATGTTCGAGCTTGATATACTCGAATGAAATTATGCTGAAAATTACTCTCAACAAAAATGTATTTTTTAGAAAGGGAAAATTTATCCCAGGAGCAACGACAGGAGCTTATTGAAACTGTTAATTTTACCCTCCTCAACGAGGAGACGCTTCAAAGTGCGCTGTCATCGTCTGTGGTACCTGCAACCTATGTGGCTAAAGGTGCCATTGCTTTGTGCACCAGACTACGGACAGATTTAGAAACAGCCCGAGCAACCTTGCAGCGCCAGGATGACGAAATCAAACGCCTTAAGACGGTCGTCAAACGTGGGAAGACATTGGGTACGCCAATTATGACCAGCTCGACGTCTAGTCTGAGAGACACTTCCTTTGGCAGCGTCAACGGAGGTCGAGACCCTGAGCTAGGTGAGAACTTAGGCGCGTAGTGAAGATCTATATATAGTAACAATGCTCGCCTAGCATTACCAGGAGTAAAGTAAAATAGGTATTTTACATTTCGATTTTTTTTTCGTGCATATGTAAGGAAATGTCAACAGTTCCATTTTTAATAACATTTATGTCAGCATGATATACAGTTTTATACTTTAAACCACAGAGAGGCATGAATGAAATCTTATCTTCTGAATTGAACTTCTTGTGAACTTGTGTAAAGTCAGCTTTTTATACAATGTGACGTCACGAGTAAAAAAATCAGTCATCTTGATAAATCTTCTTCCACTGATTAAATCCGCGCTGGTAGACAGGCTGATTTTCATTAATCAGCAAAATTTAAGCTGTTCAATCAGGGGACTTTTAACAGCTTAAACAATTGAAGTCGTATTATGTGGGAATTATATCCAATTACAGGAGTCCGTGTGACTTCGGTTTTATGCTTTGAATGGAACTGTCTTTCCCACGATGAACCATAATAACGTTTATAGAATGGTTAAAAAGAAATTATCAAATATATCTGACATGTTATGCTTGTCAATTTTTGGAAGGATTTGGAAAATATTATGTCATGGCATTAATGCACATAGTTATTTATAGATATCTTTATTGAGCCATTTAATAAACAACAATAAATATTTGTACAGAATGTTTTACTTGGTTACAGATGGATCTCTTTTGGTAATATTATATGAAGAACATTCAACACAAAAGCACATGCTAATCGCATTAAATAGCCATTTCATTATTTATTCAATCTACATTTTAATAACTTTCAGAGTTACTAGAATTACCAACGAAGGACCAAAATGCCGACGTGAACACTGCCTACTGCACGAGCGAGGTCCTGTCGGCAGTCCGGAACAAGCTGGCAGCTTCCGCTTCCTCGCCGTACAACACCTTCCGGCCTCTCTCGCAGGAACACGACATCAGTTACGAGGAAGAGTTAGAGTACAAACACGATAGGGCCATCAGACCTCTAGAACACTCCAGAACCAAAAGCAAACCCGTGTACGGGGCCAGTTATAGGACTTACTCTGCTTATACACACCGGTATTAAAATAAACAGGATCCTTCGTTTCTTGAAATGTCATACGATTCAAAATAATATATTATGTATAAAACAATTTGGTAAATTTATATACATATATTTATTGGGTCATTTGGGGGTGTTTTACTTTTGAATGACTAAAGGACCATGTCTCGACTTCATCGATCTCTAAAAATGTATTGCTTTGGAATAAAATGTTTATAAGAATGTGTGAAAGTCTTCAAAAGCAATTCACATTAGCTATGGCATGTAATGTATGCACACGTTCTGTATGGTAGAAAATCTATGGTTTACTATATAGAATTGATTGTAAATCTTAAAGGGAATAAATAAGATGTATGTGCTATTTTTGAATTTTTATATTTATGTATTTTATATTTATACAGATATTTATGTAAAGTTTTGTTAGAAATGATGATGTTGAAGCTTGTTAAATTTTGACACTTAATAAAAACAGAAGAAATGCAACCCCAGTGGTTAATCAGCTTTAAGGCAAAAACTTATACTGTTACAAATGATTAGCAGTCAGTTGTTTTGCAAAATCAACAGTTGCCATACCAAAGTGAATCTATGCCTACATATTACAATGCCGTAACTAGGCTAAAATTTTTAGTGAGGCAAGGAATCTGGGGGCCAACCGAGTCCCAAGCGGGTCGAGGGTAGTGCCCTGATGGGGATTCGGGGGGGTGGGTCTCAAAACCTGGGTTTTCGTACATTAAAGACTAAATCTTTGAAATTTTTCACATGTTTTGAATTATTTTTTACATGCTTTCTAAACTATAATAAAGCACTGGTGAGATGATCGATTGTCTGAAATTGAAAGTAAAGTTGAAAGTATTATAATGAATTTAGTACAAAGACGCAAATAATTTCAGATCAAAGTAAAGCCTTTTTCAATTTTCAGAAAACTCTAAAATTTTAATGAGGCATTTGCTTCACTGGTAGTTACGGCCTTGTATCACCAGTTGCAATTACTGAGGAGATATTTTATTATATTACACATGTACAGCAAATATTCGGCCTTCTGTGACAGGTTGAATTACGAACTATCTCAATCAGTTCATACCACAATACCTAACACGTATTCTGTATTTCTGCAAGGTACTTGTTTTGGTCTTTGCTTATCTGAGTAATACAAATATTAATTTTGCATGCATCAAAAGTAATTGAATCATGTTTAGCTTTAAGAATTCAAGAATGTAATTCATCTATAAAAGGGAACAAATAGGAATCAAATACAATATTATTTCAATGAAGAAAGATCTTACAAGTACAAACATTTGTCAGCTATACATATACTCCCCTATCAGAGGCATTTATTACAGGAGCTGACATAAGTTAAACATACAATTGTCGTTTATTTTCTTGAGTAGACAACTGAGATTTAAATTCATTGATCAGGTTGTGAATACATATCAATGATAAGGGTAGACATTTAATCAATAAATTGTGTACTCAGTTCCGTAAAGATCGATCCCTGGGGCGTTTTTATCTAGTTTTGGTACCATATGAGGTGATACATTTTTAATTAAATTTCACCGAAATAATTTGAAAAAAGAAAAATTTAACACAATTGACAATTTTTTTTGTTATATTGAAATTCAAAACACAAATCAAAAGAAAAGAATTATACATATCATTATGTATAATGTACTATAGTTATGTAGAGGACAGTAAAAATATAGAAAAGTTGTACTACCTTGCTAATGAGCTAGCTTTTCTAGTATTGAGGTAGAGCAGGCAGGGCTCCCTCAATTTCAGACGAGTTAAGCCGCAGAGTCAGTACAGCCTTCACATTACAGTTATATTTCACCAAAGAGATTTTTAATTACTGTCATCTCTGTTAAGGCTACATTTACATATATTAACAAATTTTTTATTTTTCATACTTTGTGTTGCAATGTAAAATTAAAACTTCACTGACATTTACTGACATAAAATACAAATAATTTAAGGAAGAGAATGTTATAATGGTGTGATAATGGATATTTAGAAAAATTTCAGTAAATACAAACTCAACTGATGTCTCTGAATGCAAAGAGTTATGAATTATTTCCATTTTTTGGGGGGGGGGGGGTGTTAATACTTAATAATCAGCAACTGGTATAACCTTTCTTTTCAAGTGAAAATTGAAAACTATTTTTTAACATAAAAGATAATTTTATTTTTTTTTAAAGAGAATTTCACATAGTCATATAAAAATATCACATCCTATCTCCATCTTTCTAACTTCAAATAAATAAATTAATGCATAAACTGACAAACATATGATTATTTTAAGAAAACTCCAGCATAATGAAATGCAGATGATTATCCATAAAACAACACATTCTCCTGAGCAATTGTGAAATTATGCTTACTAAAAAATGTAACATTTTATGCAAGCTGAATTAAAACATAAAACACATAAATATGATCAGAAACATAACAGTTTGTACAAGTGTGTAGGAAACCGTAGCAGTTTAACTGCATAGATTTTATAAATAGAAGATGAATCAGTGCCACCAATGATCTACCACTTTAAAAACTTTAAGGTATCACTTCAGATTGAATACACTGAATCTTCTGAAATTTCTCAGCAATTCTAAATCAAATACTGAGCATTATGATGCCATGTATCAGATTTAAATCTTCATGAAAACTTAGAAGTCAGCTGCATTTAAGTTTACACATTTCATAAAACCTCATTTCTTTTAAAATTTGTACCAATATGCAAAGTCTATCTTGAAAAGCATTCATTCATCAAATTCCTAATTCTGTTCAAATAAAAGACATTTTCACTTTTCTTGTCAGCCATCTTTAATACTTATTTTATTTCTTATTTAACCAAGTGCTATGCTAGATGTGTGTGACCTGACAAATTTGATGTTTCAAAAATGTACATATCTAAAAGTAAAGTTAAAAATTTAGGCTAAAAATATATATTTTTTAAAATTCTTTATCAGTTCCACATGGAACACTAATTTTTCTTGCTTTACTTGTACTTTGTTATGATATTATGAATTGTCTACCAGTCAAGGGTTTGGTCAGGAATTGTTAGAAATTGTTCCTTCCCACATATCCTCTCTCTGCTTTCTGTCACTTCTCTTCTTTTCTGTAATTATAATAGTGTAATAGAATCAGACACATAAGGCTCCAAAGGATCCAGCAAACGAAAGCAATATTCCCCCAAATTTTTGGCCACTTAATGAAAAAGAGAATTTTTCTGAAATTATATCATTTATATATTTTATTTTCATTTTTTAGGCAGG